TTCTGCCCGAAATAGAGAAAACTCCATTTTCTGAGTCAAAATTGAGTTAAACTCATATTTAAGTCTAGTTAGGTGGGTCAGATTTGCTGAGCTCATGTCTGCCTTAAAAGCGGCTTCAGCTATGGCAATCTTCCTCTCCAGGTCTATCTGCTTGGTCAGAGCAGTTCTTTTCTTATATGAGGCATGCTGGATGATGAACCCTCTAATAAAAGCTTTCAAAGCTTCCCATGCTACACCTGCACTGGGAGCTGTAGAGAAGTTAATTTCTATATAAGAATTGATCTGCTCTCTCAAGGAGTGGAAAAAGTTGGGATCATGTAAAAGGCTTGAGTTTAGCCTCCATCTGGGAGACTTGGGGGGGCTACCAAATGAGCTCAGAGGCGTGGTCAGAAACGCGTATTCTACCAATAGAGCAGGACATTGCTGAGGGCATGATAGAATTTGACACGAGAAAATAATCTATTCTTGACAGTGTTGTGGGGGCAGAATAAAAGTTGTAATCTCTTGTGGATGGGTTGAATACTCTCCATACGTCCACCAAACCCAAGGTCCTACACATTTTATAGCGACCGACGCTGATCTAGAGTGTCGCTGTGAGGGAGTGCTTCGATCCAGTATATCATCCATGACCAAATTGAAGTCCCCTGCTATCAGGATTGGGTAGTCGCCCATATCACTAATTTTGCATTCCAAGTTTCCAAAGAAGGAGGGGTCGTCGATGTTTGGTGCATAGACATTGCTTAAAATCATCCTATGGCCTTGAATCTCAGCCAAGAGTAGCAATGTCTGCCCATCTTCATCCTTAACCATCCGGGAGCATTTAAACTGTAACTGCTTATGAATTAAAATTGCGACACCCCTACTCTGACTGCTGCCACACGAAAAGAATACCTGACCCACCCAATCACGGCAAAGTTTATCTGACTCTTGGGGAGACAAGTGAGTCTCTTGAAGAAAGACAATGTCAACTTTTTTTGATTTCATAAATGTCATGATTTCTTTTTTTTATTGAGTGGTTAAGGCCTTTTACATTCCAGGTCATTAGAGTAAGGGCCCTTTGTGGCTTATTCGCCATCATGCAATACGTGTCAGACATATAACCGTGGGGTAACTTATTATTAGAACCAGGAGTTCAGTACTGAGTGGACAATATTTGGAAGGCTGGCTGTAAGAATGGGGGGGGGGGTTGGAAGTAAATAAAAATACCAGCTGATAAACATTTAAACAGATACGTCTGGGGCAACCAAGAACACTAGTCACCCTCAGGTGGGCTATGAGCCCCAGAAAGCAAAACATAAACTTTATGGTCCGTGACTCTAACCAGTCGAACAGTCATAAACAGGACCTGTCGCCAGCAGCATATAAAATCAATGTAATATGAGGAAAACAGTCATTCCGGGACTTAGCTAGCTGAACAAACTGAAAAGGGCTTCATAACAACTGAAAAACTTACAGGAATTTAATAGTCTTAGTGAGCTTCGTATCCTCAGAAGCAGCACAACTGAATAACTCAAATAAAACTGCGAAGCCCTATAATATTGAAACTAAACAGTTAAATGCAAAGTATATCGTGTATAGCATGTTAATTAACGCTAGGGCAAGAAAAAAAAAAGGAAAAGAAAAAGGGTAGTGTTTAAATCCAAGCCCTGACTGTAAATATCTCCCTTAAAGTAAAGACAGAATGTAGTCCTGGGCTTTTTTTTTTTTTTTTTTGTGTCGGTAAACTCACGTCTGCCCTTTTTCAGCACCAGCACCGCTGGGAACAGTAGGGAGAACTTTATCTTCCTTTGGTGCAGCAGCCGTATACAGGGATTAAATGCCGCTCGTTTGTCCGTGACAAGTGCACTCACTCCAAGAACCGTATAATTATAAATATGAGCGTGGTGAAAGTAAGGGCTCGTAAGGGTCTAACCCTTTCACTCCTTTGATTTTTTTTCCCCCTCATATCTTTTCTTTGCCTTTTTGTCGAGTCTGTCTTTGTACGGACCGGCATTGTTCTCCTTCGTTTTGTACATACCTTTTTTGGGCGGCAAAGAAAAACCAAGAAGGTATTGGAACCGGAGAATGAACGTTTTGCGGTGCTGCAAATGCTTGCATGTGATGCGGTACTTGGATTGTTTTGCCACGAGTTCCCAGCATGCAATGTGCGAAAGTCGCGTGGTCTGTCAATCTCTATTCAAGCTGCCATCTTGACCACCTACGTCACCGGACTCCACAAATATCCTGTTATTTATCTTACTGTTGTTGTGCTGCAGCGACATCATTTCCTCCGATTATCAAAGTGTTGTGAAAATGCCTATGATTGATAGGTGCGTTGACTCACGCACATCTGGAGGTGGCTCACATGTGGTTCCTCCCTCACAGTGTGCACAGCCTCATTGCTACCTGTTACAGTAAATATCCAGTACCCTTCCTGTCAGCGGAGTGTGTACTCTGAGTACTGCAGTACTGTGTGTGTGTGTGTGTGTGTGTGTGTGTGTATCAGGGCGTGACGCGCTGATAAACGGCAGCATGAAGCTGCTGATAACACACACTTGGCTGTGTGACCTGATGCGTACAGGAAGCCTGACCCGTTTCACTTCCTGTTACCTCCAGATTAAAGGTGCTGGATTAAAAAGGCCGCAGTCTGCTTGTGCGTTCTGCTGCTGAAACTCGACTTTAAGCAGAATTAAAGTCGAGTTTCATAATTTAAGAGTAAATAGACAAACTACAGTTAAGCTTTGTTTTTGTTTGTGAATCATGAAATCAGAAACATTATTTATAAAACAGAGGATTCCTGTGTCATTTCCTGTTTGTGCTCCTGAACCAGAGCAAGCTTGTTATTACTACAATAACAATGTTTCATAACTAGTAAAAACACATTTTTAGCTTTAAGTATTTCATGTGCAGCTGTCACTGTGTGTGCGCGCACCTGTGTGTGTGAAAAGGAATTTTATTGTGAAAGGAAGGAACAGGATGGGGAATGACCGGATGTTTGCGCCCCTGGGGGGTTAGAGGTCGATGTGTCAGCTGACCTGTGTCTGTCTCCCCGCAGGCGGAGGCCGAGGTCACGTCTCTCGGTCGACGTCTGCAGCTCAGCGAGGAGAACCTGGACCGCACTCAGGAGAGACTCGCCGCCGCGCTGCACAAGCTGGACGAGGTTGAGAAGGTAGCCGACGAGAGCGAGAGGTCAGAGGGCGCTTGTATTCCACAAATACTGCAAAGTACTACAGCTTGTAATAATACACAGTAATACTGTGGCAGTACTATGAGAAGCACTGCAGGATTTGTAGGATTTGTTTGTAGCTGTTTTACACAGCAGCAGTGCTGAGAAGGTCAAAGGTTGAATGTGATCACATAACTTTGTCCACAATCAGGGGGATGAAGGTGATTGAGAACAGAGCTCTGAAGGACGAGGAGAAGATGGAGCTGCTGGAGGTGCAGCTGAGGGAGGCCAAAACCATCGCTGAGGAGGCAGACCGCAAGTATGAGGAGGTACTGCACACGCTGCTACTGGCATTACCACATAGTTAGAGCAGGGCGATATGACCCAAAATATTTATCACGATATACATCTGAAAATCTGCGATAACGATATAATTGACGATATAATTGACACGAGACAAAATACTTTACAACTCCTCAACTTTATTAGTGCAAAAAAAACATCAAAGTATTTTCACTTAAACAAGCAGCTGTTTTATCTGCATTAAAGTTATATAAACATTTAACAGTGCAAATGCAAATTCCTCGCTGACAGTTTAACCAAAAGGCATTTCCAGTGGAAACTGGCCGACACATCCTCAGCATAACCATGTATAACATCCACAACACTTAAAAAGAGGTTATACACACACAGTACGGTAACATTATGCTGAAGCACAGTACGTATCACTCCGCGAGGCTCCGCCTACGACAGCCGTAATGCTCCGACAATCCATCAAGCGGCGCGGCTTCGTAGCTCAGCAAAGTCGTACTGAAACATTTGACAGATTTTCGAGCGCCGTGCACATAAAATCGTTTCGAGGTCAGTAAACACAACCAGAGTTCATACATAAGGCACACGGGATTATAAGGGGCTCTGTCGACTTTCAGAAAAATCAAAGGATGATTTTAAGTGCGCCGTATTTTCCAAACAACACGGTAATAACGACGGCCCGCTAGCATGCGCTACCAACAATAGTGCTTTGTTGTGTATCTGACGGACGAAAGCTAAACCAGTTCCACACCAGTGAAGCTGCAGCATTTTTACAAACCAGTTCAGGTTCATTGTTTCATTCAACGATCCGCTCTCGCTCTTCTCGTTCTGCGTCGCCGCCATGTGCGCATGTAAACAAAGGCACAGCGCATGCACGTTTTACCCATATTCTATCGCCATATTATACATCTATCGGTATTACCGTGAACGGTATGATATGACCCAGCCCTAGTAGTACATAGTGGTGTCGTACACAGGAATGCAGTGTGCTGTTTGATTGACAGGTGGCTCGTAAACTGGTGATGGTGGAAGGAGAGCTGGAGCGAGCTGAAGAACGAGCGGAGCAGGCCGAGAGGTTCTACACACACACACACACACACACACACACACACACACACACACACACACACACACACTTTCAGAGCCACTTTATTAGGAACACCTCGGGGACCACACAGGTGAGTTTCGAGCGGGTAGGTGTTCCTAATGAAGTGGACATACCTGCCTCTGTAACAGCATGAAGCTGCTTTGACACACCTGGTAACTTTGACATCACATTGATGTGATGCCACACTGCTTCTGTAACAGCTCCGCCTCTTTCTCCCTGTCTGTTTCTACGGCAACTGTCTGCATGCCCTGCTACCTGCCTCCACCTGTCTCACAGTAAGGTTCGGAGGTTGGAGGAGCAGCTGAGGAGCTTCGATCATTCGCTGAAGAGTCTGCAGGCGTCCGAGGATAAGGTACTGAGGGTGACGTGACCTGGACCTGCTGACCGAGTGAAGCTCCTCCTCCTGACCTCCCACTGCCTCCATGATCTCTGACCTTTATCTGCTGCTTCAGCTCCTCCTCCTCACCCTCCTCCTCTTGTTGCTCTGCATGAATCTACCTGCAGGCTCAATGACACCTGACAGTGCGCGCGCACACACCTGATGACACACACACAAACTCATAGGGTGCTCAGGTGGTGTCGGGTTGATTAAAATCCTTCTAGAAGCAGTTCTCGTCACTCGGCAGCCATCTTGATAACAGGATGTCAAGCAGCAGGTGAGGTAGAAATGTAAATCAATGGCTTTGTTGGCATCCTCATGACTTGAAAACAAAGGGGCGGAGCCTACAGATCACATTTATGGTGTTCCACCTTGCACCTGTCTGCCTGGCGACAGAATACATCATCAGTTGCGTACCTGGCAATCTCTCAGAGCAGCACCTGTGCAGGTGTGCTGCTCTGTCTAAGTCTTGAGGCGGGAACATTAAAGATGGGGACCATATGAACAGTTGGGTCAGGCTCATAACATTTCCAGGTTCTGCTGAGTGCATCCTGCTTTAGTCGGAAGGTACCGTAGTTGATACCTGACACCACCTGAGCCTACCTGCCCACATGCCTGTCTGACACACTGTGTCCTCTGTCTGACACACTGTGTCCTCTGATGTGACCTTTGACCTGCAGCAAGACCCGGGTGTTGGAGGAGGAGCTGAAAACTGTGTTCACAAGTGCAAAGTCTCTGGAGGCCCAAGCCGACAAGGTAGGAGGAGGGGGTGGGGCTTCATGGCACAGGTAATTCTGCCGGGGAACGGAGCCGGTGCAGTCTCTGGAACCAAAAACGGTTCAGCCTCACACCTGTGTGCTCACCTGTGTGTACCTGCTCTCTGATTGGCTGCTGTCTCTGTGTGTCAGTACTCTCAGAAGGAGGACAGGTATGAGGAGGAGATCAAGAGTCTGCGCAACAGACTGAAGGAGGTGAGTGTCATGTTCACCTGTGACGTCACGACCTGTTGGAGAAACTCGATTTGTTTCTTCTTTTCACAATAAAAGCTGTCAGCTGCATGGAGGGAAGCATCTGAATAAAGTCAGCCAATTGTCGGTTTAAGGCTAAGTGTGTAATGTATTTTCAATTTTATAATTAAGGTCTGAGACTTTGTCTGAGGTCACGAATATTAAACAAGATTAATGTGACCATAAAGTGTGATGTTTTATTTTGAAAAAACTAAACAAAAAATATCTTGAAAGGGTTTAAGAAAGTATAAAACCAGGACGTACGAGCGTTTTCAGTTTGACTATTTATCCTGCACAAAACAACAAACCAGGGTTCTGCAACAGACCAGCTTTTCACATTCTCCCCCGTGTGTATTTCCCTTTTGTCATCCGACTTCCTGTGTTTCAGGCTGAGACCAGAGCTGAGTTTGCCGAGCGCTCGGTGGCCAAACTGGAGAAAACCATCGACGGTCTGGAAGGTGAGGCCCACGATCAATATTCATCACAGACAACAAGTGTTATTTGTCACATACACAGTACAACATGTGTCCGAGCTGCGGACAGCCTGCAGACTTAGCTGCGCCATTCCAGGTTTTAGCATGGTTTTCTAGCAGGACCCTTACTGAATACAGGGCGAACTTGCAACTCCCGCTCCAAAGGCATATAGTCTTACCACTACACTATCAGCTGCCAGCTGAGGTCACAAAGTAAAACTGTAAGACCTCAGAGACCAGCCTGTGATTGATGTGATTGGTCATTGACTGGTTGGCCCCTCCTCTCTGTGTTGCAGATGCTTTGACTTCTGCCAAGAACGCAAACCTGGAGCTCCAGGCGACCCTGAACCAGACCATGGAGGAGCTCAACTCCTGCTGAACCTCTGGCTCCGCCTTACCTGACGTGGATGTCAGGAAACTCTGTGGCCAAAATATTCCTCTTCCCTTTCTTCCTCTGGCTCAACCCCTTTTGTCACTGGCCCCTCCCCTTTTCTCTGCTTGCTGGAGGTCAAAAACTAGATCCTCTGATCCTGCTATGAGAGGAGTGTGGGAGATATTTCCTCTCCAATCTGGCTCCTCCCCTCACCTTTGGCCCCTCCCCCTCTTTTCTCACATTCCTACTTTGAACTTTTTCTGCACAGTTTGCTTTGCCTCCACCCCAGTCATGTTTTTGTAATAATGAGTGACTAACAGCCCCGCCCCTCGTTAACTAATGACTAATGGCGTGTTTGTCTTAACGGTTTGTTGTTCCTGCTTTAGTTCACTTTGCCACAATAAATATTGATGACTGATTGATGAAAGCCAATCTTCTGTTAGCCAATTAATTATTGTTTTTGTCTTCTGGGGTGTGGCTTACTGGAGTGACCAATAACGGAGGCATTCAACTGCCAAATATGGTGAACAAAGGGGCCAATCACAAGCCAGACACGCCTCCTGTTTTCTTTGACCTTAGGACAGAATCAAAGTTAAGAAAAGTGATTACCTGGAGGCAGGTGCTGTCATCACTGATGATGTCACAGTTCATTGTAATAAATCGTGAAAGTGAAACAGGATTTTATAAAATAAAAGTACCGTATGTAGACCCAAACAGAGTCTGGGGGTTATTGATCGATCGACTCATTTTCCTCTGAAACGGTGAGGCAGCTGTGAAGTTGTACTGCAGTACAAATACACGTCCGCAGGAGAGTTTAAAAACTGACACCAGGTCAGTTTTAGGCTCAGTCTTAAAACCTGGTCACGTTCTAGTGACTGAAAGTGCAAACTTGGGTAAACTTTCAGGCTTGTGGAACAGGCGTGTGCTGAGAGCCGGTGAAATGGCTCCTTTTACTACACCAGCGTTGTCTTCCAGCTGCAGAGCCACGTTCATTCAACATCTGCTGGACTAAAGTAGGAACTGCAGAGTTTGGAACGAAGCCTCGGCTGTCATCTTTCTCATTGAAATCATTGATTTAACCTGCTCAGACCAGCAGAGGGTGCTCGTACACCAGCAACAGCTGAGGGGGACTACAAACTTCTAAACACAACAACACAGGGCCTGAACAGGTGTTAAATAAAACTTTATTGATCAGCTGAACAATAGTTTTGTAGTTCATTCTGCTGAAAGCATGCCGTCCTCCCTTCTTTAACAACATGCCAGACCACCTGCATCAGCTGCTCTGAAACACCTGAGCTGCAGGTTAGGTCAACCTGTTAGTTCTGTGGGCGGGACCACCTGATCAGTCACTGATGATCAGCTTTGATTTACTGATGATGTTGAAGCTGCTTCCTCAGTGAGCTGCAAGATTGGACGCAGCTGCTCGTCCAACGAGGGGGCGTCGGCTTCATTGATTACAATCCAATCAAATTCAACTCCGTTGTCCAGACCGCACTCCGACTCTGCATCGTCGACACCTGAGAGACCGAGATGGGCAGACAGGTGAGACGGAAAAAGGTGAGAGAAACAAACGGTTAGTAGGAGGATTCAATCTCACCTGCAGTGAAGCTCCACCCCCTCTGTGACCTGGTCTTCTCGGAACTTTGAACTCTGACACTTTGAGTCTGTTGAGGAAACTCTGCCTGGAACCACTGCAGGTCTGAGAGCCGCCGCGCGTCGCTCACCAACTGACCAATCACAGAGCACAGCTCAGCTGTCTGAAGGATGACATCACAGCAACATGATCCACGCTCACCTACCCACACTGGTTGGCAGGCTCCTCTGCTCGCCAGGCGACAGAAGAAGCCGGGGTCCTGGCGGCGGCGAGATTCTCCCCAGTGAATCATGTCAGCTCGATACTGCTCCTTATAAGGTCCAGGACCCATCAACTGGTCCAGGTCCAGACCGTGTTCCTGCAGAACCAGAAGCAGCCTTCTTGGTATAGTGTCTGGCTGTGGTTTATCAGCTTCAGGTACAGTAGCAAACAGGTATGATGAGGTGTGACCCCCGAATGGGCTGGTTCACCTGGACACCTCACACATGTCTGAGTATGACTATAAACTGCTGCTGGAGGATGTGGTCCATGAGGTGGTTCCCAGGAACCTTCTGGAGATCAAACCTGCTGCCCTACTCGCACATCCTCCATCGTCATCAGCCTGAGCAAACCTGAAGGAGCTCCGAGACCTGGACGGTCACCCACCTTAATCCAGGAGAACCAGTTGGCCAGGGATCTAAACTCATGACCTCCAGGTAAAGTGCAGAGATTTGTGTGAAGGTGCATCTGGAGCAGGTGAGACTCACCTGAGCATACTGCTCCTTTAGGGGTCCAGACAGGCGCAGGATGCAGCAGACGTCAGGGCCCAACCTGCACGGTCAGCGCAGTGAGGTAAACATGGACAGGTGTTCAAGTGTTCCAGGTGTTTGTGTTTTAAACAACAAACACTCGGAAACACAACTAACAAATATTTACAAATACAAGGTTAACATTAAGAAAGGCGGATTTAAAAACTGGATCGTGATATGATGATGATGATGGTGGCGGTGGGTTATCTTATACAAAAAGTGCAGTTTGTTCTTCTCTGGTTTCTGTTTTAGCTGTAGTGGAGCTGAAACTGGGTCCGAAATCTGCTGTGAAAATTCAAATGTCTCTTGTTGCTGAATTTTCCATAAATTACGAAATATTCCAGGTGTGTTTACCTCTGCTGGATCAGCTCCGTCACGTAATCTTTTCCGGACTTCCTCTTCCCACTGAAGACCAGAACCAGGCTGGGCTCGGAGACCCGGTCCTCCATTGCTGATCAATCCTCTCATTCAGCTCCGCGCGCATCGATCAGCTTCTGTTTATCAGTTCAGATTTCCGGTCGGACCATGACGGACCGGAGCCGTAACTGGCCCAGTAGACTGGAAGGAACAAAACCAAAGTCCTCCGCGAGCGCAGGTCATCAGTCACCGAAGCTTCATCTGATCAATTATCAATACCAAACCGACTGGCCATCGATCTGCGACGCGTCAAGCTGTTTGTGGACAAAACGGAGCTCGGTTTGCGTAACGCAATAGCGATATTACGGTAACACATGGTCGTCGTCAGATGTGGACTGAACCACTGTGCAGGGTGGAGGGGGCGTCGTCACTGCTAACGTAAAGAAAGAAAGAGCGAGGCTAAAAAAACAAACTTTGAAAATTGAAATTTAAAAAACAGATTAGAGGTGATTTTAGCTTAAAACTAGAAACTTTATTATTTTAAAACAAAACAAAACCAGGCGATCAATAATAGTCGTCGTCGTCATCAAGAACCAAATCTAATACAACCTTTAACTCAGAAATGGACAAATTCTAATCCAGGTCAGTCCCGAGTGATTCCCGAGCATTAACCGGACTGGGAGCTTTTCCGTTTTGACGTTCCTGCCGCTCCTGCTTTACTTAGTACGACCCTTTATGACGCCTTCGTGAGCCGACGAAGATGGCGGCGCGTGTCGTGGGGAGAACAGGGAGGCTCGCGGCAGTCTTAAGGAGCTCCGCTGTGCGCGTGAGGGAAACTTTAATTATGCAGCATTTTGTTGATGCCCTCACTCGGGCGTCTGTGACGTCAGAAAGCGGACTGTTTGAGCGATGATAGAGTAAATACGTTTTTTAGGGTGTTGACCTCTCACCCAGCTATCGCATGTCCACCTGAGGCGCGTGCCTCAGCGCACAGGCAGCTGAGTGGTTGATTAGAAGTTCCCATGAATTCAGCCAGATGTGAGCAGATGTTTCCTGAGCTGTCCTGGCTGATTTCATCCTCTGCACTGACAGTACACTGTATATGTCAGGTATTAGATTATAAGGCAATGCGTATTATATTTCTCACTAATTTCCCCCTACCTCAGTTACTGTGCTGAAGTGCGGGGGAATACATATGCGAGTAATATAAAACCTGTATACTTGTTACAGAAGAAAGTGGTACGAATGGTTCATAATGTTAAATATAGAGAACATACAAATAATCTGTTTATAAAATCGAATTTGTTGAAATTATAAGATTTAGTGAAATTACAAACATTATTAATCATGTTCAAGGCAAAAAATAATACATTACCTCTGAAGTTACAAAGTTTATTTGTATTGTGTTCAGGAAGTGGGGATTGTAGAAGGAAATTTTATTTGAGGCATCAGTTTGCTAGGACCTCACAAAGGCAAATGTGTCTGACGGTTAGCGGTATAAGAACATGGAATTCTCTTCATGATAATCTTAAGAGTTGTACAAATATACACAGTTTTAAAATGTGTTACACGCTTAAAACGATAACTGGGCTAAATGTGGAAGGAACAGTTCTTCTGTGCCATCAAGTAGAATCAGAATCAGAGAGACTTTATTTATCCCCAAGGGGGCAATTAACATACAACAGAGCAGCATGACGTTGAAGATAAGGACAGGGCATAAACAGGTAATAAGAGTGAGATAATAAATACACAGAATATACAGTATATACACAGTTTTAAAATTTTACAGTTTTAAAATTAAAGTGACTGAAAGGTCAGTAAATAACTGTAAGTGACTATAAGTGAATGAATTGTCGGTAGTATAAGAAGAGTTTGTTTCTGGTGTGGGGAATGGTCTTATCAGCTGGAGTTAAAAAGCAGCGTGGCTTTGGGGACAAAGGTGGCGCTCCTCCTCTCAGTCCTGCAGGAAATGCAGCGGAGGCGCCGCCCGGAGGGGAGCCACTGAAATGCGGGGTGAAGAATGTGAGAGGGGTCATTGATGATTTTGGCTGCCTGTCTAAGGACCTGTTGGCTGAAAACCGGTGCAAGAGTAGTATTTTTGTAGTATTTTATATTAGTAGAATTGTATATTGTTGATTATATTCATTTGTTGTTTTGTTTTGCATTGTTAAATATAGATAAATGTTAGAGTGCGCCCACTTGTAAGATTGATTGGAGTTCAGATAGGGGGCAGGTGCTTATAACAATTTATTCCTCTTCCTGCTCCTTTTCACCTATGGGTGCGGTGCTATATTAATATGAATGAGGACTTGTGTGAAGGAAATCAAATACTGCTGAACCATGTGTGAAACAAATTTTAAAAAAAAAATGAAATGAAAATGCATTAGTTGTGCCGCTTCTTAATGATGGTATCTTAGCTAACAACCCCAACTACCAGGTTCAACTTGTAATTGGCTAAAAATAACTTAACCTACCGGTGAGAGGGACGTTGCTAGCTGGCAGTTGTTTTTTTGGGGGGTTTTTTGTTTGTTTTTTTTGTGTCCCATTTGGATCTTTA